GGTGCATCTACTTTATGTTCACCCTAAATGGTTTACGACACCTTGTGGTGCAGAATAATATACTTTGAGAGTTACTTGTTCTTTTTGTCAGTCCTCATACACATTTTTTTATCACGTTATGTAAATGATTGTAAACAGGAATAAAGGTGCAAAGAGATGTTTTGTACAATTACTCAGTTTTGGACTTACAGTTAGTCAAAGATGGCCCCTTGTTGTACTAACCAGTGGTGCATTTTATTTTCATTTCCGACTCCTCACTGCTTCGATTTGCAGCAATCTGGTGGTGCAGGGAGGAGGTCTGTTTTACTGGACGTTCAGCTGTCATGTTTTTTAATATTTCAGTTTGGAACATCAACGCTCTGACAGCAACAGCACCAGTGCAACCAATGAAAATGTTTAATACACATGTTTAATAGATGCTTAATAGACTTTTGGTCACATGTGCAACATAAATACCCCACTCTGGAGCCCTGAAGGACAATATTTTCTTCTAGATTCTCGATAAACACAAGTACAGTGCAGCATAAAAGTACTTAAGTAAAGTGAAAATACACTGAATGTACTCATCTAGTTACGCACACCTCTACCCTTTTAGGTTTTTTGTGTTTAATACAGTTATATGTTGTTTTTACCAGTTAATCAGTTTAACCCCTTTAGTTAATCAACTGATTACATAAGTAGTTGGATCGGCCTGATAAGGGAGGCCATCTGGTTGACTGATTATTAAAGAAGCTGCATGTTTACAGACGTTATCGCTGGTGTCCCACTTTCTAATCACGATGTGGAGAAAAGAAAAAAAAAAAAAGAGACGTAAACACACATATATACACACACACACACACACACATGTGACAGCTCACTCAGCCATAACGTTAGATGTCTTATCAGCCAATTAACCCAGAAGGTGACCTACACAAGGTTATGTCATCTCTAATCCTATTTATTGAGGCTACTGTATGTGCATAACAACAGTTTGATGCATGTGTGTTTGACTGTGCCTGGAGGGAGGCGGGAAGGAAACAGAGAGGCAAGAGATTTAGGCAACAAAAAAGACAGAAAAATGTTAAAGGAATATAAAAAGAGAGGGAGAAAAAAATAACCTTTGAAATAATTCTCTCTCCAATTTCCTCAATTTTGAAACAGTGGGTTTATCCCATTGGCCCATTATGAAACTTAGAGACAAAAGCTTTCTAATCCTGGCTCTTCTGCTCTGCCTTTGATGGCTGGCTGCGTATGCAAGTCAATGAGTGTGTGTACTCCATGCGTGCGTGTTTGACTTCTACATTAGTGCACTGGATTGTGCATGTGTGTTGGCTAATGCTGCTCTAAGCTGCATGCTGTCCTACGGCGTTCGGCGATGTGTGTGTGTGTGCGTGCGTGTGTGTAAACCTGCGAGTGTTTGTGTGTGTGTGCGTGTGTTTATGTTAGATTAGACTGCACTGAAATTATCTCCACGGGGACGTTGGGCTGTTGCTGCATCAAGAATAAGATACATCAAAGAGAAACGGCTTCTACATAACAGCGGAGCAAACGGGCGCTTCTGTATGCGGCCCCGAACTTCTCACGACTGTCAGACGCGTTTGAATCACACCGCGAAGAAATTTAAGAACAGAAGCTACATGTGCGGGACGCATCAAAAGCAGCACAGCATAGTAAAACAAAATTAGAGCTAAATTAGTATCCAGGAAGTATGATCTTCTCCTTCCACAACCCAAGAATGTTTAATCCCACCGTGGGAATAAAACTTTGCCCCAAACAAAGATCCCTAGAAACCATCGCTGTCAAGGAAATAGTTGTGCTGCCGTCGGCCACAGATAATCTGCAGCAATGAGCCCCGCATCCATCTCCGCTCGCCATCCTGCTCTCTGATCCCTCACCGGGACTTTAATGTCTCACATCACATCTTTCTCACGTTAATCTGCATTTCTATTTTCATACACACACACACACACGTATAGGGTTAGCGAGCTTAGTGTGTCTCTGCATGTGTGTTTGCGTGTGCCTATTGGCCTGAAGCACGCCTCAAGGCAAAAGCACCAGTAGACCCCTGGTTACGAGCTAAAACCGGAGCAGCTGGGGCAGTTAGAAGGAAGGACTTATCATCACAGCAGGAAGAAGCTCTTACAGGGGCTGAAGAACTACTCAGTATTCTCTTCCCCCCAAAACAGCTGCCATAATGACTCGCGATTGCACCAGAACTCATCGAGTAGACACTGACTGCGCACACATTTCTGTATTTATAGTGTAGGAGAGAACAGGACTAATAGGCTGCAGAGGGATACATTGCACCCAGAGGTTTACATTACGTTGAAAAAAATGGTGAAATGCCACCTTTATGTTGGTGACTTTAGGAGCAAACAGGTCGTTCTGTGCATGTGTTCAGCTCTGAAACATCTGCATTTCTTTTGGGAATTGGCTGTTGATATAGGATTCTAGTGCATCAAGATCGTCACTAATTGCTCAACTGGGTTTTATTAGATACTACTAGACAAAGCAATTGGAAGGCACACTAAAGTGACACTACATGGTTAACTTTCTTGACATTAAACAGTAGGAATTGCACACATTCATGGCCGCAGAGAATCTGCTTGCCAAACTCTGGACATTGGGCTCCTAGCCACGAGCTACTGCAGCTCATTTAACAAAAAATTGTTCCTGGACTTTTCATTTCAGAAACTAGGTTAAACTACTTTTTGAGCACATCATTATAGCTGAAAATTTGCACTTGCAGGTACTTTGAACATTCGTACTTCATGACATTCGTCCTACAAAGATGTGGGTCTTATGTGAGATGCTGTTAAGAGTCAGAATCAGAGAAACTTCATTAATCTCTGCAGGAAAATCACTTTGGAACAGTTGCTCAAGATTGTGGAAGCTGTTAAATCTTACAGAGATGAGGAATAGTGTAACTGGGTAACCACAGCAGGTCAGTGTCCAGTCATGTCTAGCAGTGAAGTCCACAACTTATTAACCCTTTATGGGCCAAGCGACCATATTTGGTAACTTCCTTGGACGTTCAATATGGCCGCCCTGTGCCTCTCCTTGAAGTTGAAGAACCATGTGCTCTTTGATTTAGTTTTTATATGAGTGCCAATGTCACTACCTTATGAAAAATGTCACTAAACAAATGTCCCAGGCGCTTTATAAACACTTTGTTACTGGTTTGCATCGAGCTCCACTTTGATTTATTTTTGGAGATTAGTGCCAAAACCACTACCCCAAGAACAATGTGACTAAATGAACTTGCCAAGCACTTTATAAATACTTTGTCACGTTCGTATCATTACCTCAAACTAAAATATTCCTAAATAAATGTTTTTTGCAGTTTGTTACTTTTTCTTTTATTTATTATAAATTCCTCTTTTTTTAACCGTAGACGAGCAACTTACCATATATGGCAACTTTATTCATCTTGATTTACAACATTTTTATTTTTTTTTAAGTCACAAAAGTAAAAATATCTTGAAATATCCTTCAATAGCACCCAGGGGTTGACATGTTTATTTTCCAAGTATTTCAAGGAGTGCCCTATAAAGGGTTGAAGGTTTTTAAAGACAGAACCATCAAATCAGAACAAACCAGAACAGTAATAGGGCATATTAAGCAAGTCCAAGGCTGACATTTTAGTTCAAGGTAAATGATCTTTTAAATGTGGGTTTCATTCTTCTGAGAGACAACATTTTAAAATCTCAGTAGCGGTGGTAGCGATTAATGCTGTCATGATCATGAACTTTTAGTTGATTAATTGCCACTGAGGTATCTTTCTCTTTTGTCTTTATTGCATCTATTAGTTTTACATTAGTGATATTAGCGCCTTTGATGCCTCTTTTTTGCTGGAAGTTATTGGGCTTTTCTTTTAAACAAACATACGCCCACACCGATGATGTGGTGTTTGGCTTTGCAACTAAAATTGCAACGATAGCACCACTTGATGCTAATGGAAATGAGATTGGTCAAACATTAGAAGGTAAGCATCTTGGTAGAAACAGTTGGTGCCAATAATCTAGTAAAATGGTCACTGAAATGTGGCATCTGAGTTGGTTTCATCAAGCTGCTTTTATACAGGTGAATGGAAATGATTCGATTAAACATAATGATGGTAGTCGAGTCATATAATAGCATCAGACAACTATATAATAATTGTGAGAGGCTGAACTCGCAGACAGTGTTTCAGTTCATCCCAAAAGTGCTGGATGGTTGGATCCAGACTTTGGGCAGCAAATTAAATCATTAGAAATCGTATTAAATCGTTTAAATTGTTAGAAATCCAATTAAAGTACACGGTAGCATGTACATAACCATTGTAGAAGAAGAATTTATCATGGCACAACTGAAAAAGTGACTAAAACAACAGAACACATTTCACATCTTTCATTGAAGTTCTTACTTTGAATTCCTACACTGACGTCAGATTTGCAGATTACTTTTTGTCCTCTGCCACAATCAAGCCAAACCATTAATTCATCCGTGACATTTAAATTGCATAATTTCTGCCTTTCTCTTACGTTGTGTAATCACATGGTGAGCATTGTGTGGTCAGGGTCAAACATGATGGTGTGTCTAAATAGGCAGGTCTTTAGTGCTTTGTCACTGCTCAACATGCTCCTCATAGCAAACAGTTAATGTACAAAATTACAGTGATGGTTTTTTTTTTTTTTTTCCATGCTAGCGCTGAATAATGTCACCTCAAATGAATAGCTATTATACATAATTTAAACACAGCATCATCTGTGTATTTAATCTGTCAGTCTTTCTGTTTTCTCTCTTTTGATTCATCTCCTACCCTTGTTTCTGCCTCTCTCTCTCTCTCTCTGTCCTTCTTTTTCTCTGGTGAGCATTTTAAATCAGGGTCACAGTGGGGAGGCAAGCTGCCTAGTAACAGGTTCAGCTCCACACAAACACACACAAACACACACTAACACACACACACGTCTCTATCGCTGCATTCATCCAACCATACCGTGTTTTCTCTGTGTATGTGTGTGTGCGTCTCTCTGTAGGGAGTTTGGCTGGAGGGATCCAGAGCTGCCAGAGGTGATCCAGATGTTGCAGCATCAGTTCCCATCAGTCCAGTCCAACGCTGCTGCCTACCTCCAGCACCTCTGCTTCGGAGACAACAAGATCAAATCTGAGGTATTGATCTCTGAAGTTCTTTCTCCCGAGAGAAAGAACTCTCAGACAGAATGAATTGAAAACTTTTGCTTGAGGGGCCCCTACATCACTGCGCTACACCGCCCTGTTCCTTCTATTTATGCACACAAACGCACGATTTGACTCCTCTTCAGAGTTTAATCCGAGAGACTTTAATCAAAACACAGGCAGAAATACTCATTTCCTCTCGTATCTAGATATGCATGGAGATTTGGCGCATTTGATCTATTTGCCGAGGTCTGACGAACGCCGTTTCATCAGCGCTTTGAGCCTTGAGTAAGATTGTGGGAGACCAAGGTGTGCGCTTCTCTGAAAATGTTTTTTTGATGGTCACGGAACAGACGAATGAAGAAATATCACTGCAACATATCCACAGCGTAGAGCAAATATTCAAGTATTAATAGCAGTCTTGATTTTGGCTTTTCACAATCAAATAAAAAAGATTCACTATGATTTTTTTTGAAGTTTATAATGCGAAAAAACAGCTCACGTAGATAAAATCACTCAGTTTCAACTTTAAATCTAACATTACAATATCTTGTTTTGCTCTTTTCAAAGTAATTGTGCACACAGCTGTCTGAGAGTGGAGACTAGAGGCTCCTCTGTACACAGTGAAGTGTACAGAAAGTGTGAGGTGTTTAGGAACATTGGATATTCAGCAAGTAAAGCAATTTGGGCTCAATTAAATTTATATTTTCTTCTAGCAGATACACCGAATTCCAGTGAAGATTATTTGAAGTCTTATTTGATGCTAATATGTGTATATTAGCAGGAAAGTAAGATTAGATTAGATGAGATGAGATGAGATGAGATAAGATAAGATAAGATATGCCTTTATTTATCTCACATTGGAGAAATTCAGTGTTGTCAGCAGCAGTACACACAGAGATACACACATACTAGAAGAACAATGTACATATATGAAATAGTGCAAACACAAGTATAAAAATGCTACTTCTACTACTAATACTACTACTAATAATTATAATAAACTGTGCAAATGCAAATATATATATATATGCATACATGTCGTGGAATAGTGAGTAGTAGCACAACTTAGAAGCTGAAGAAGTGCTTAGGTTGTTTAAATGTGAAAGTGCATTGCATACATTTTGTCCATCCATCCATTATCTTAATCCTCACGAGGGTCGTGGGGGGGCTGGAGCCTATCCCAGCTGACTCAGGCTGAAGGCAGGGGACACCCTGGACAGGTCACCAGTCTATCACAGGGCTACACTTAGAGACAGACAACCAAGCACACTCACATTCACACCTACGGACAATTTAGAATCACCAATTAACCTCAACATGTTTTTAGACTGTGTGGGAGGAAGCCGGAGAACCCGGAGAGAACCCACACTACACAGGGAGAACATGCAAACTCCACGCGAACCCGGGATCTTTTAGCTGCGAGGCAACAGTGCTACCAACTGCGCCACCTTGCAGCCCCATTTTGTCCATAACAACTCATTATGACCATATTCGTTCAGCCCTATCACAATGCTTTCTGTACTTGTTTGTCATTCTAGCAGTGCAGTGTTTCAGTTTTCTCATCAGCAGCCTTCATAAAATTACCACTCTTGATATTTTGGGAAGTACAGTGTGCGTCACAGGACCAAACCTCTGTTCCAAATTCTGCTCTATTTAGTCGACTCTCTTTTTACAGCCAGATTCAAACGAACCCGAGCGCTGTCATCTCTAATCACGGGATACGTCACAGTCAATGTGAGTGAAAACAGTTCTGAGTGGAAATAGAACTTTCAATTAATTTGTCTTTGAACCATACAAACAATTTTTTATGATATTCTTCTTCTTCTCCATTTAGATATGTCGCTGCTCACTGCGGCTGGCTGTTAATGGATCAAATTAAGTGATAGCGCCTCATTCTGCTGCCAGGGATTCGTTTTTTTTTTTTTTTTCTCTGCTCGGGTCACTTCGGGCCAATCGCAGTTTGGATCAAATCTGTTATGCTCAGGTCTGTTCGGGTCAGGTCTGGCTGAGCTCAGATCCTCCTCAGAATCCTCTCAGCTCTCTTGTTTTTAAAAATGTATGTTTCTAGGGGTCAGTTCAGGATCAGATCCAACATTTTGGACCCATGCAGTACACTTACTTTCTTTCTTACCAAGATATTTGGGAGGATGGATGCCTCTGTCTTGTGTTGGTTAGCTTAGCTGGTCAAAAACAGCTAGCCTGGCTCAGTCCAAAGGTAATAAAATCCACCTACCTGCAAACTACTCCACTTGTTGAATCAACTCCCATGGCAATAGTGCTCTTGAAGCCACAGGTTTGTCCTGAAATTAGTAGAACTTGTTCTTCCTTATTCCTCTTCTGCTTCTTCAAAAACTTGTTGGCTTTCGTCTTTGCTTAGAGGAAACTCCATCCCATGGGGGTACACCTGCGCGAGCTCCGACACGTTTCGTATCAGACGGCATTAACTCCTCATTATGCAGACTTAACCCGGCTCTGGACGCAACCTCGTCCCTGCACTCTCTCCTCCCGTCCTCTAGAGCCGCCATCACTCAGTGTCTCGCAGAAAAACTGTTCCGTCTGTCTCCTCAATGTCAAGTCAATTCAGCTCGATTCCACTTTATTAATCCCCATGGAGGCGATGGATTTGAGGGCAAACAAAGTTCTTCAAACAGCAATCAGCCAACAGGCATTAAAAATAGAGCGAGACAGAGAAGGATGAGAAAATGACTGATGAAGTATGGTAGTATTTAGAGCAGGGCTGCCAAAGCTACAACACAGAGGCCAAATTGTTTTTTACCCTTGAGGAAGATGTCTGAGTGGTGAAATAATGGACTAAGAGACATGTATGTATGGACGACTGTCTGTTCAGTTTTCCAGCAATAGATACAATCTACGGATCCTGTTGTTCCTACAGCCGACAACTCAACTCTTGAATGTACAAACTTATATTTCATAGTGTCATCTATAAATGTCATCTTCCCTACAGTGTTTGCACTCGTGCAGCCCCATATCAGCTTACCTCTATCTTTTGCGGCCTGTACCTTGCAGTCGCTGTGGTGGTCCAGGCCCACGCCAAACATATTGGATCCAAACTCATTGACTTTGCTTTCATCTGACCAAAGAGTGTGCTGCCAATGTTCATCGGGCTTCCGGTACAGTTTCATCTTGCAGTTTTTTTTGCTCTTTTGTGAGCAGCGGTTCTTTCCTTGGACAGCGTCCATAGAGGTTGACTTCATGCAATGTCCTTCACACAGTGTGCGCATCACTGAACCGCCGGTTTCCACAGATAATCCTCGTGCCAAGTCAGCAGCACTGACCCCGCAGTTTTCCATATCAAGGTGTTGTAAATAGTGAATTGTGTGCGGACTCTTATTTTCGTTACTGGTAGCGTGGCTCCCTCTGTGACTCCTAACTAGTGCTGCTGCTTGTGTTCAGTAACCTGCTGATGCTCTTGTGCTCTCTCGCATATTTATGAAGTCTCACAGTTGGGTTTCTCACTCGTTCAGTGTTCAGTACCATGTGGAGCCATGTTGCATTAGAAACAACCCAGGTCGAAACAGAAAACTGTGGCGCTCACTGGTTCCTTTGTAACCTTGTCCATGCACTCAGCCTTAACTGGAAATCACATGTGTACTCCCTTTTGCTGCATTGAGGTTGTTGTGTTTAGCCTGAGTTTCAGTGCCGTCCATCTAACCTGCATGTCTTTAATTATACATAAGATCAAATACTCTACATTTCAACTTCAGAGTAATACAATTATTGCAAGATGATGTTGTGAATAATTTAACAGTTTACTGTTATTGTAAGTGTATACATCTGTTTTTACGTCTATGTCGATTTAAAAGACTATTAGTCAGTTAAAAACATAATCAAATAACAATATAAGGTAGTTTATCAAGTAGAAATGCTAAACATTGTTGTTCCTAAACAACAAAAAACTACTCGTGGCACTTGCTGAGAAACATTCCTGTACATTTGTTGCCTTGTCAAGTGAAGTAAAGCTACAGTCATTATTCTGTTGGTTGAATTTAATGGGGATTTTGGTTTAATTAAATGTTTTTATAATTGCATAGTGATTTTTTTTCTTTTTTTTTTGACATAGCTCTCATTACGAGGCCTGTTGCTTCAGGAGCCGACATTGAGTTCAGCATCTAGTTAATTTGCAAAACAATCAGTGTCCGGTTTGACATTTTCAGCCTCAGTGCATCAGCAGCACGAGGCGTCATGCTGTTGTACCGTCGTCTGCAGCAACCAAAGGCGCGATGTACAACCGCCTTGTCTGTGTACAATCTCCTGCACTAAAGTGACTCTTTTGTTTTTATGGAGAGCAGCCAGTCTGCCCTACATTTTCTTTGTCTAGACGGAGGAAAGCAGGGAGGGCTGCAGACGCACAGAGGTGCAGTGGCTGATGTTTAAATGAAGCTTGCATCAGTGCAATGTCAGCCCCAGCGCCCTGTGTGTTTTTTTGAAGTACTGACAAGATACAAAATGATATTTACATAGCACAAAATCTAGTTTGTCTTCCTTTGTTTGAGGTAAACAAGCCCAAATATCTTGAGCTACTCCTGCAGACATATCGGAGCGGACAAGTTGCACAAATGCATAGAAACACCACTATCGTTCCTAAGTGTTCCTTTGCTGCCCCCTCATTCCTTCCCTCCTCCTCTGTCCTCAGATCCGGCGGCAGGGTGGAATCCAGCTGCTGGTGGACCTGTTGGACCACCGGATGACTGACGTGCACCGCAGCGCCTGCGGAGCTTTGAGGAACCTCGTGTACGGCAAAGCCAACGACGACAACAAGATCGCCCTGAAGAACTGCGGAGGAATACCGGCTCTGGTCCGACTGCTCAGGAAGACCACAGATGTTGAGATCCGAGAGCTGCTCACAGGTAAAACACCTGTAGATATTTTGATGTTCCACACCAGGAGTGAATACCAGGACCTGAGATCACACTGTTCCCTGGAAAAACTCACCAAAATCTATTTACTCCTCCTGGTAAAAGCATCTGTAGGAATCTGGGGGATGTTTAGCAGGTGGTTCCTTGTGTCTTCTTCTAAGCAGCATCACTGTTTCCATGCAGTTGTAGCTAAATACTAAAATTCTCCTTTTCAATACAGCAATTTGGTATTGTAGCTCTATCACCAGCAGCAGCCCTATTATGTGGCAGAGGACAAATTGCGTAAAGGATAATTGTGCCAGTAATTCAGTGAGTGGTGTAATTGGACATGCAAGCTTCTGTTCCCAATTCAGAGTGCAGAGCAGAGTTCAACAGGTGGAGCAGCAAGGGCTTTGTTTCTTTTTGTAGGAACAAAATGTTGGATTTAGAGGATTTTAAAGTCTACAGCTAAAAGCTATTTGGCAGATATTAGCATTTTTAGTCCTTATTTGACTACTTTTCGTCCAACCAAATCAAAGAATGAATAAAAGATTCCAAATTTCCCCATCGTGCTTAAATTCCTCTCAGCTCAAAAAGGGTGTACGAGGCAGAATTAAGATTCTCAAGTTGAAATACCTATCATGTCTTGAAGATTTCCTAAACCTGCTCCTATCCATGCATCCATCCATCAGCTATAGACGCTTTTCAATTCAATACAGAGCCACCATAAACATTTCAAACAGACAAACCCAACAAATTAAAAGTTTCTTTTAGGCAACTGGCATCAGTGGGAAGGAACCAAAAAAACTCCCCGTCATCCCGTAGAGGGTCATGATGGATTGAAGCCTATCTTAGATGACACTGGGGGAGATGCAGGGAACACCCTGGACAGGTTGCCAGTTCATCACAGCGAGAGTTTAACACAAAGAGACGGATGCACTCACACCTACGGCCATTTCAGAATCACCAATTAACCGTATATGCTGTTGGGCTGAGGGAGGAAGCATCTAGAGAAAACCCACGCAGGGAAAACACGCAGGTTTGTGCAGAGAACCACTAACCACTGACCACCCGAACCTGGTTCAAAGTATAGGAAGAATAGAGACCGTTATGTAGAGGGAGATTGTTTCATGTTTATAAAGGCTTTCCACAGAATAATGAAGAATTCATAAAATGAGTTACTGCGTATGTCTAATAACTGTTATTTTTTGTAGAGTTAGGTATAAACAGAGCTCATAACCTCAATATAACGTGCCTGCATGAAACCACTCACATATTCCAAAACTAATAATGTGATATTCTAAACACATTATGTAACGTATACTACAAAAGAGTCATATCTGTTTAAAAACAAAGCAAAATCCTGCTTTTCCCTTCCTGCCTGCACTAATGCATGGATGCCATCTACCTGTGGTCACATCCACTCAGACACACACACATTCATTTTCACCCTTCGTGGACGCTACATTCGCACAGCACACAAAACACGCTGTACTGTGCATGTACCCATTTGCACTCGAGCACAGATACAGACAAACACCGTCACACACACACACACACACACACGACAACACACAGAATTGTTTACCACCTGCCTGCTTCCCAGCACTCATCAAGAGCTGTTGACTTGTCAAACTGAGCTTCTGTGCAAAGGGCTACACTGCACTTGTATCCACAGCGTGTTTGTATTCTCTGTCGGTAAACACAAATATCTTCCACGTCATAAAAAATGTATTCAGGGTTGATTAATTTGAGGTTCAAAGCCACACCGAGGTCTGGCTTGTAGATTAAAGGATTACCTCTACCAGTGTTTTTCACAGCGTTTACTGTACATACATCCAGGCAATTTTTCCTTCCTTGATTGGCATTCGCACAGGCGGCCGCGGTAAAAAGGACTCTCACCTCTGGAGGGGGATGGAGAGATGACAGAGCTGAAGGAGGAACACTGCTCAATTTTCTAACTGATCTACGGCTAGAAAATCCCAGGGGTGGGGGCGGGTGGGCGAGGTCGGGTGGGTAATTCCAGTCCAGGAGCCAAATGAGAAAAATGGATTTCTCCTGCCGGCACCCACGCTCATAAAAAACATTCTCTGCTGTGGGAGTGTACGGAGCAGGATATCTGTCATGATATTTCTGCTTTCTGGAGCAGCTCAGTCAGTGTGTGAGGACGTTTATTTTCCACATCTAGACCGAGGCCATCCAAACAACGCCCAACGACTATTCTTAGACATGTTGAATCTGAAGTAATGAACACAGAGAGAGTAAAGGCTGTTTAAAACACAGCTTTATTCTGTTTGTGAGAACACAAAAACAAGGCCATTTACCGTTATCACCGCAAGGCAATTAAGTCCAGATCTATTTGTTTTCACAAACAGAATTAAGGTTTTGCTAATCAGAAGGGGTGTTTTAATCCTCCCTGTTATTATAGTAGAGGTTTGACAAAGCAGAGTCGTATATGTGGCCTTGTTTGGGGGAGGAGAGCAGTGTAATCACTTCTTTTTTCCTGTTTTTGACAGAGAATGAAGATTTTACAAATCTGAAAATGGATTTAAACAGTCGCCTATGCGTTGGTCACGTCCAGGTTTAGTTATGGGGTTTTTTTAAAGCTGAACCCATAAATCTGCCAGCAGGTTTGAACGGCATGTTGTTTAATTTAAAAAATGCCAAAATGACACCATCTATCATAAACAGAAACTAAAAAACAGAATGGATCATCAGATTTCCAACTTTCCAATGAATGAACCGTGTGTGGTTCAGCTAGAAAATGAACCCAAACCAAACTTAACTACGAAGCTGATACACAAAATTTGCAAAAAAAAAAAAAAAAGAAACCACGTTGCACCAAAAAAAAAAAAATTAAAAAAATTAAAAAGCACTCCTTGACTTTTGTGGTTAAACTTGTCATTGTAGATTCATACGGCATGGTATCATATCTTTTGAAAGATGAAGC